TAGGTCTTGCATTATGGTTTATGAGGCGCTGATGAGTTTAATTTTTTAAATCTATTCTTTTTCACCCCCTCACTCTTTTTCACTGTTTACTTTAGCCTTAGTCTTTCCACCAGGCCGTTTCCCCTTTCTACTCAACTCCCATGTCCTTTTTCTGAGATAGTTTTTATTTGTGTTCTTAAGAGGTCATATCATGTTTCATTCCCCCTTAGGAAAAAGAGCCCAGAAGTCTAGAAGCTGAAGATGTTGGCCAGGGTTGAAACAGAATTTATCTATCAGCAGAAAAAATAACTTAAAAATTGTAAATTTATTATTAGCCAATACTAATAGTAAGATGTTCAAGAGTGAGAAGGAATGTTTTCAGAATAAATGAAATATGGTATACGCAACTTAATGGTGATATTCATTTACCTTCCTTTTTTAAAGCTTGCTTTCTGTTCTGTTTAAGTATCACTTGTCAAAGTACGCTAAATATAATTGTTCAGGAATAATTGTATTTGCAGAGATGCTGAGCCTTTGTAATGTAACTTCTCTGTATCTGCTTGGATGACTGTCTAACTCTCTAGGCCCAGCTAAGATACCACTTCCTCCAAAAAGCCTTCCCTAGAGCCCCAAATGGAAGCAACCTTGCCTTGTCTGGAGTCATGCAGAGAACCACTTTACTCTGTTCTCACGGTATTGCAGTTATTTTGGTTTTTCTTCCCCTTCTGTTTTGTAAGTTCTTTGAGGGCAGTGTTCACTGTATGTGGAAGTGTGGAAAGTTCTCTTACCTGCATCTTTATTTGCTCATTAAAAATGATATAAGTTGATATAATTACCAAGTTTATTTTTTTTTTTTTTTTGTCTTCTCTTTGCCTCACCAGTTGACACTGTAGATCTCCATCTTCTTATTAAAGATTTTCTCACTTAGTCAAAAGTCACTATGCTTTTATGCTTTCCTTGTTTCTACTCAGAACCCCTCTGGAGAAAATAACCTTTGCTCTGATGACAACTATAATCTAGCTACAAAGACTCTCCAGATGGGACTCCAGCTCCTCATTTTTCAGTACGAATGAGGGAGAGACAGTGTGTGTGAGGAGTGCAAGTGATGTTAACCGTTCAAGGAAAAGAATCAAGAAGGTGGTTCTTGCCCTCAGGGACCTTGAGATCTGTGCTGTAGTAGTTCAGTCCTATCTTTGATTTGCAGTTTATGTTTATTCATTTCCTTACTCGTTCCATAGTTTTCTAGAACTTCCCCTTTAAAAATATCTAAACTCATTTTTATTAAAACACAGATGAGGGAAGGATCTGAGTTTACTTTTCATACAGAGCTTTGAAAGGGAAGTCAGGACAAGCAGAAGTTCTGAAGAAGCCAGGGATTTCTAGAAACAGTTCTCTCATCAGGATATTTAAAGACAATCTGATTTATCAGGAGTTGGGGAAAAAGGGACAAGACTTGAAACGGGTAGGAACTGACTGAAAACACAGCTTTCTTTCTCTGTGTTAGCATAGTTGGTTGCTTCTCCAGGATGCATTCAACTCTACCCCACCTTATAGAGCAGCCTGTATTGTTGTATGTTTGACTGCACTTTCAGCCATAGGCCTGGTCTCTGATTATTCTGTGGTTCTCTGAATGTGGATCACTAACCAGCAGCAGACCCAGCAGCAATTTCCCTATCAGCTCTACTAGAAATAAAGTTGACAACTGGACCCCTCTCTCCCATGCTCTCTATCTATATCTCATCTGCTTGGAATTTTGGAGGGGGCAAGGGATGCTACTTACTGGGTCCTATATTAGCCAGGATAGCTAGGATGTCTTGTAGGTATA